GGTTACTAATAATTTTATTGATATATTTTACTGAACCAACATATTGTTTAAACAAATTTGTAGGTAGGCTGCTCAAAAAACTAAATAGGTTCAAATAACATGACTACTATGTCCGGGAAAGACAAAAGTTAACTATGAGAAAGTCCATTACATTCTTTGTTTTTGTCACAGTAACTAATAAAAAATACAATGCTAGTTTTGTGGGTTACCACCCAAATCCCTGTTTCTATTTCAATTTCCGGTGAAAACCAACTACACTTTGTTCCATGGTCAATGCTTCAGCTTTGTCTGCTCCTATATTACTACAACAAACTCTACTATATTACCTTTACCTTCTTTTACATATTCACTATGTGACTATCCTGCATAGTCCTGTAGCGTTAGTTCTGCGTTTGTAGGTATCAAAGAATTCTTTAGTTATTGTTTAAAGTTTATCCTCATCACTTTCTTAAAAAGGTAAATCTTGCTAAGCCATTCGACTTTTAATCAAATTATACCACAGACTTTTGATTATCTTAACAACTATAAAATTTACTTATCCTTAGTACAGTATAAGTATTGGTGGTGATAAGCCAACGGAAAATCAGTAGAAGGAAAATGTCTATAAAAATATTATTTAGGATTAGAAGGATTAGTAAAATAAACATAGCCTTTATCACGTCTATAGTACCTCAACCATATGTTTTATATTCATAATTTAAATTTTCTATGTTGGCAATAAGTTAAATCCAAACATCTGCCATATGTTAATTGTTAACAATCAGTCTTCAATTCAGTATCAACAACAGTTACTCACCTTTATATTAATAAATTATATCTTGTAAAAAAATCTTTTCAAATGTATCAACCTCTGTCAATTATCAACTTATCAAATACGCGTGCACCACAGAGGGTCACGACAATGTCTACAACCCGTTGCCGTAAGTAAACTAACATAATATTGACAAGTTATTCTGAAAACGTTTCAAAAACACCTTGGTGTAAACCCAAATATCTCTGGTGTTTCTTTTCGCGCTTTCAAATCTTTCCGGACTGCGTTTAACGATTTAGGCAAGCTACCAAAATGCCTATGTTTATTCGATGGGTAGGCGTTAAAACTAGGCAAGGAACCAGTCCGTCGTATAATATTAGGCTGGAGATCCCGAGATGAAATCAGTAATGAACCGGTTCCGTGGCTTATTTATAGGAATATTGTACAATGTTTTGGTAGCTCTGACCCATAAAATGTACAATTGTTTGTGTTCTCGACACGTGAACGTGTTCACATTGTATTTTACGGGCGATGGCCTCTGTGGTGTTGTGAATGTAGAGGTAATTGTTTGTGTTTTAGGTAAGTTGAAATGTTTCGTATTTGGTACAAAACTGTTCGTTTTCTGCCCTTAAAGTGTTTGATCTATTTCTTTTTACTGATGCCTCAAGAGTGCGTGCAGATAAATCTTTATATTTTGTACATTGTATAAAACCTCTTCTGGAAAAATTTTTAACAGATATTTTTGACTGGTTTATTTTTTATAGTATGGTTTTCAAAATTTGTTATTACGTAATGATTGTCTGAACAGGAGTTTATTGTTAGAACATTTCTTTTTTAAACAGCCATAATTAAAACACATTTTACTAAAACACATTTTTTACATGGAACAATTTGTTATAGTTTTGTCTAAGTGTTCAAAGATGACACATTGACAAAGAGCACAGAACAGAACTATCTATTTGTTGCTTTCTGCACATCACTTGCAGATCTCTATCTAGTTGAGAACTCGCAGGCTATGATTATAATTTATCGTTTCAACAGGTCAATATGATGTTTTAATAGGCTGTTAAAATGTTACTTCAGTTCATTTCCAACTAGCTACTACATTTGTAACCATAACAAAATCATTCATTAATATTTACCAGAGTTAAACACAAAGACGCCGATTCAATAGGTAGTTACAGTGTTCAATCAGTAAAATTTACTCATAAGGTTGTCACTAGTTTAACTTGCCTTCAGTTAATGATTACCATTTCCCGGTTAATAGGTCAAGCCAGTTAGAAATTGTGACAAACCACACGATAGACTTACAAATAACATCAGTAGAGAGAGCGACAGCGACAGCGGCGCGGCGGGACAAAAGAAGTGAAACCACATCTTCTCTCTAGTTACCCGCTATTTTACACCGACATTGTCCCGGGTTTTTTGCCTATATTTATATCAGTCAGCCTTTCGATTGTACCTTAGTAATTTAAGGTTCAGAACTCAATTAAATGAAATAGTTTTAGTTTAAGTTGGTTTAGTAGGCACAAATTAAACATCTTTGGTCGGAGTCTGTTGCATTTAATACTCTTTTCAACATTTGTATGTGGATTTTCACCCTACTGTAAATGAATAGAATTTATCCTTACAAATTATCAAACTTATTTTTTTAAGTTTTATGAAAACACAAAATTTTACTTTTTAACCCTACATGCAACCGAATATAGTAGTAAAACCCCTAACTTTTATTTTGTTAATTAGGACTACAATTTCCTTTTCTGTAATAATGTAAGATATTGTCAATTGGGCATTAAATGATGTTTAAAAAAAAAAATTATCTTACAAAAATGCTTAACAGGTGATTAGGTATTATACGGACAATTCTGTGTGCATTCTTCTGGTCCTAAGTATTTTCAACGTCTTCCAAACAAGATTAGGTATGCGTATAATGTATTTTATGTCATTATCTTTCATGTCAGTGCTCTGTTTGCTAATGTTTAAAGAGTCAAATATAAGCTCGTGTAAACGCATATAAGCTTATATGCCCCATTATAAGCATCACTGTAAACAAAATCTAGACACTTTAATTCCATGTGAAGTTGTAGAGGAGCTTCGTCCAGAATATTACATTTCCTATGCATTCGGAATTCCTCTGAAACGGCCCGGGTGATCCTCCCGACTATAATTCAGCCTACAAATGGAAGGCGGTCTTCAGCCATAAAGTATCTTTCATTCGCTTAATTTTCTTTAAACGCCACTTAATAACTGAGGCAAAGGCCGGTCCCTCGTTACTATGCATAGTTAACAGGTTTATTACACACCTCTTTCTCCCCCAGATTTATGGTGGTCCTATGGGACTTCCCTCCCATAGGTTGGTGATGATGGATTGTATCGGAAAGATTAGAGGGTGTAATACTAATTTTGAATCGTAATTAAACAAATGGAGGAAGTGTAAATTTTGCTACAGTCTAATCTTATACTAGTTAAAACAAAATCTATTAGATAGGCCTAACGTTTTTAGTTCTAATATTTTCACTATTAGCCAACCAAACCAATATTTACTCGATATTGAATGCAAACAACATAAATAAGTGGTGAGACAGTTTAGACTAGCAAAACTGTTTGTACAATGAGTTTTCTTTTCTCAAATAAGATTACAAATCTAACCAAACTCATCTCTGATAAGATCCAAGGCCATTAGGTGACATGAAATTTAATTCTTATTTTCCCACTTTTTAATTTACACTTAACATTTAGCTAAAATCACACTATACGTAATACAACTAGAACGTTCTCATATTCAAAATATACTCCTGTAACGGTAAAGAGCTATTTCCTCTCATGTCCAAACGAGCTTAAGAATAAATTAAAACCTGGAATGTATTGTCATAAAGGCAAGATGGTATTATCTTTTCTTGTTAATATTTACTATTGAATCTGTATAATCTCCCAGTAAAATTAGTACTTCGATTTGAAAATGACTTTACAAAAATTAAATTTATTACCTACAAAATACCTATTTACAATCCCCTCATCGCCTTAAACTTACAAAATCAGATAAAAACCCCAACATAAACCAAGCTGTCAAACTAGCCAAGTACTTTTCCCACCATAGGTTCCGTATCCTATCCAAACGAATATTTCACAATTATGAAAGATCAAATCCGCCATTCGAAAATCCTTAGTTCCCACAATGCACAACGATCTTGAAGCGGTTTCTACATCAAATCCGGCCAAACTTATCTTCGTCAGATACGATCTGAGATCCTTAACCAAACGAGAGTCGCAGATGCGTCGATGCTGATATAGCCTCCCGCTGTTCCATTGTTGGTCTGGCTACAAATAACGCTCTCTGACCATTGTCCGATCACTGCAGTGTTCCAGGAACCGTCTGGTCGCGTGATCCATCCAAGACTCCGGATGTCAAGGAGTTGCCGTCTTTGTGGAACTTCAGAGGGTCCCGATACGCGTGTCTTAACGCGGGTATGGTTCGGTATGATCGGTCGGCAGCTGCCCTTGATCATAGGACTTTTAATAATCAATTAGCTTAGCTAAAGAAACGGCTGATGGTTTTTTAGTATAAGCAGAGGAGGTACTATGTTCATCTGACATAGCATGTTGGATTAATGGCTGCTGAAGCAGTAGTAGCATTGACTTTATGTTGTAGTTAGTAAAAAAGCTACACACCGTAACACACCCATTTCCCAATCTTCAGGCACTCGCACTTGAGATAAATCTGCTCTGTCAACATTGCAAACACTGACTTTACTACACTGAAGTTACTCTGCAGCAATACTTGAAACAAGTTAATACTGTATTTGAGCCCCATATAGGTACCAGCTATATGCTGCACATCTTGGTGATCGTGTTGGAAAACTGGTTATACTATCACTCGATAATCTGACCTTGAACAATCCGGATAAGCCGGTGTCGTGTGAACTCGGTTCGCTCATTCATTCGCACTCACACACACACATACACTCACTAACACACACAGAAGACAGTCCTTCGTGTGAACCAAACACTTGAAAAACCAGACTCATTCATCCTTTTTCGTCGTCGAGAGTACGATTGCGCAGGTCCTCGGTTCTTCAGTTGACAGCCATTAATATTAAAGTCCTCTTGACCTCTTTGCTGCTCCTACTGACTGGTCAGTTTTGTCAACGACGTCGTGCAGCTAAATGAATAATGTTGTGAAATGTTTCTTCTTCTTGTATGTAGATTTGACACACATATCTAACTAAGCTAACTAGATTTTGTATTTTAGGGAGATCTTCCTTCTGGCAACGTTGAACCACCCGTCTCCCCTAAGGTAGCGATACTTAAATATTTTTGTGTTAATTTGGAATACAAAGTATTTTTTTCTGTTTTCCCATCCCGAATTTTAGATTTATTTCTAATTATAATTTACGAATGTTCAAAAGTTTTGGAATTGTTTGTATTGAGTTACATTTTTTTTCTTATTATTAGAAATTAAATTAGTTTTCACGCATTAATTATCTTATTTCTTTTATAAACTAGATGATATAGTTGCAGTTAATTCTTTGCTAGGAATTATGATTTCTTATGTTCATGCATGCATCCTGTTATTGTATTGTTTCCCGTTTCCTGTATGCTTTTGGACCCTTATTTCAATCTATTTATCCTTTATCAAGCTATGAAGATTGACGAGTTGTGGAAGTTTGTGTATTGAATGATTTTCAATCGAGCTATGCACTATACTAGTCTTAGTATGTTGGTAATTTAATAAATTTTAGATACAGTTTCTTCATAAATGATTGGGCATGGAAATATAATTCATAATTTTCCTGCATGCTAATGCCCTTCCGCACGCTCGTTGTAGAGTATTATAATAAGGTAAAATTACGTAATCTCTTAGAATACATTATTCAAGTCATCCCACTCTTTTTGCCATCTTTCTGATCGCATTGAATATTGAATAGTAATTTAAATTGCCTACTTCTCTAGTTTAGTTTCTCATCAGACCTGTAAGGTATCAGGACCTTTGTCTATTGCAAGGCAACAATGACTATATACTAAAGAAAACGGCATTGAAAATGTTTGTCAACTACTTTGTTTTTAATAGGATGGTGGGTTCTTGTCACCTTGCATTGCGTGGAACGTATCCAGCAAAGTAAGGGGCGAGCCGGTGCAGTACAAGGGTGCAATGTAAATATAATGTAATGATAAAAAGTAGTGGCAGGGACCAGGGTTCGAACCCAAGACTTCCCTGACCGTGTTTACGACTGTTACCGACTGAACCACCCACTCAACAAGTAGGCTACTTATTTTATGATGTTTAACGCCACATACTAGTACAGCAGTACCATTTTAATATGATTTTGGCAAAATGTAGTCATCAAAGCTGTTTTAAAACTCCCGGTTTTAAGTCCTTAGCAATTTATTGTCTCTCACTAAAGCATTCTACGTTCTACTAGTTTAATCAATGCAGACAATTAAAAAAGAACTTTGATGAAAGGTGGAATTTTGCCCCATCCGCAATTCTATCTAGTTTGGGTGAATGAAGTATCGGACAAAAGACACAGTGCTCTACTAGGGGAATGTAAAACAATTAGAAGAAGACCGGTCAAAAAACGGGCTCACGTCTGGTTCTAACTGGTTCTCTATCTTTCTCTCCCAGTTTAATGTACCACTCACCGCCCTGGGCTTAGCATGCTGTCCTCTGTAATAATCCTAATACGTATCTCGTGGCTTGATGACTTCTCTGTTATCAATTAGGAGATGTATTGGGATAATTGCTACGGGAAAATGTGAATCTAAATAAATTTTGGAGATTATAGTCTTTAAATTGTATTATTTTAAAATTTATATTGGTTCTACAATTGTGTAAGCAATTTTTAAAAGACTAAGAATGTTTAAAAACTTAATTTAATTTTGGCTTTTAGTAACCTTTGATTATTTGGTTTTCTATGTTAGGGCATAGTAAAATTGGTTCTCAACTTTACGTTTTCTTATTTGTAAAAAATATCTTTAAAGTTTATTAGGCTATTCGCTCAGTTTGAATACACGTATCGAATGCAGCGAATCCAATGTAGAAAAGAATAAAAAAATGAATACGAAATTAAAAATAAATTGGATGGAGAAGCAATGTCGAATAGACCATTTAGGCCCTTGTGTGTTATTACAATTATAAAAAAAAACTGTAATATAAGGCGGAATATACAGTATAACATAAAGATAAACACAATTTAGAAAACAATTACCATGCTATGAAATTAACAAAACTATTCACCAGCCTATTTTCTCCTGCAAAACCACTGGTTATTTCAAAGAGATAAAAATTTACAGTGATGACTTCAGCAGAATATTTTCTGCATTAAAACGTAAATGTATTGACCAATCAACTACGACCGTATAAACTACTTTTGCACCCCTATGTATGTACTCGTACTCAAAATTTCAAAATAGTTTCTAAACACTAAACACACAACACACTAAACACTAGCTCCCTAAGCGTGTATCCTTGGTAAAACACAATTATTTTACTTTGTAAAACCAATAAAATGTAGTAGAAATGCGAAGGCAATGAAATGAGCAAACATTTGAAACCTCGGTTGCGAGTGGGTGAATGTACACAACACTGTTGATATTGTATTTACCTGCGATATGGAAGTGTATTTACTCTGTTGATAACTGATAACAGCATTTAAACACTGGCTTGTTGCTCGTGCTGTTAGATAGTGTAACTGTTAAATTCGTATATTACGAAATAATAAACAAAAGTGTTCGTCATACTGTTTTTAGTAGTCAATGGTACGTTGTAATGCTAAGGACTTTTTATTCTTAAGGCAAAAATAATAACATACTGAAGTGAAGTTGATGACCACAGCTGTACGTTTTTTTTTGGTTTTTCGCCGTTTTTGCAAATGAAATGTTCCAGATCAATTTAAGTATGATTAAACAAGTTTAATAATTAATTTCGTATTGTTTAAAATGTCACACTCTGTAATTTATCACAACATACTCCGTTATTTACTTTTCGATTAAAATGAATAAAAATCCAGTTTTTGGGAATTGAAAGTATTTTTGTTTTGGCGATAATGTACATAATACGTAAAAGTACAAAAAATTGTTAATCATTCTCGTTTTACCATAACTAGATGGAAACTTTTTCAAGAACTAATCTATAAAGGGAACCCCCCTAAAACTTACGTAATGAACTGTTTTTCTAAAAAAAAAAAAAAAAAAAAAAAAAAAAAAAAAAAAAAAAAAAAGCTGTATGACTAAACATTTTGGCACTTTCTTTTTTTTCAACTAGTTTTTTTGGAAAAAAATCACTTTAGGACCTACTAATGACTGATATTATCAAATCTTTGTTTTGGCAGGGTTTATGACCAACTGTGCACTATGAACGTCTACTACCGTTGTGTATAATGTTAAGAACCAACTGAAACAAGGCAGATCCCATTAATCCTTAAAATTCCCTTGCAGTAATTATTTACAATGAATATTTTTATTATTAATGAGGAAACTAAGCTATCAAATAAGAAAATACAATACTGATGTGCAGTTAGAGAAATCGTGACATACCGGTAGTTAAATGTTACCGTTATGTTTACTTCTTCCTGAGGTTTTTGTAAAGAATGTAGTTCTACCGTGGATCTTAGCAATCTTCGTTTTTACTCTAGGACCAATTAACTTTTACAGTAGAGTCGGAATTTTCATAAAAACTCAATTCTTGTCGTTGGAGCGTTTTTCACTGTTGAAGTTAAAACGTCTCTCACTGCTCTGAATTGGACTGGAATATTTTTCAACCCGATAGTTTTTTACATTGCTTTTTGATCTTTTCTAGCTATTTTAAGGATTTCAATATTTCTTTGATAGCCCATATTTTAAAGGAATTGCTTACGTGGCAATTTATTTAATTTTACCCAACGACCACGATCTGTATTAGCTTTCGCTGAGAAAATATCTATTCAATAAAACATAATACACAAATAGAATATTGTTTGTGTTTATCAAACAAAGTTGTGGTCCACAAAACAGAATAAGCAGCATTGTTTCGCCGTCTCAGTATTATTATGTAATAATGATACAGTATAATGGTTAATAATACACTAGTGTAATGGATATCATAGTTATATATAAAAATGCTTTCATAAATATATTCCCCTCTGTACATGTTAAACGATGTATACCTTGAACAGAAGGGATAAATCTAACTAAGCTCTTGAGAATCGACTTAAAACTTATAAAACTCTAGTTAAGTTTGAATGACGCTTACAGCAGCTTAATACGGTAGACAAAAGAGTACATGAAAGTTTAGAAGTTTGATGCCGAGCAGGAAACAAAAGTGAAGCTTTGAAGCCGAATTTCGTTTAATTATTCCCAGTGATCCCTTTGCCATGCATTTTGTATGGTAACCCTAAACATGTTTGAAGCTTAGTTGGAAACAGCTCAGTATACACAATTACTCAAACAATGACAAACAAAACATAAAAGAAATTTTATAATTTGTCAACAAATTTCACACAAAGTAAGTAGGTATATTGATGTTAATACTTAGGATAACGCAAACATTTCCCCCCATTTTTTTATAGCGATGATTATAAATTATAGTCGTTGAACATTTTTTAGTAGGCCTTAAAAAATTAATATCACATTTTATACGAATTTTAGTTAATCAAAATGCTTCTGTTATTAGTCACTGACAATTAACAATATTGTTATTTTAAGTTTACCTTCACGTTCATAAAAAGTTCGAATGACTTTATTACTGTCAAAGTCAAAGTTGTTTTCCCACTTGTTTTCCAGACAACAACCCTGATAATGGCATGTTCAGGAAAACATTAAAAATATATCCTTCACAGTCCTCGAGAAAGATGTTTCAAAATAAAATCCTATTACACGTGTGTGTCTACAACGAAATGATTATTAGTTTTATTTCAGAGATTATTCATTTCGTTGTAGACACACACGGGTTCAATTAGTTAAAGTCATTTAATCGTCTACGTATTATAGGACCGTTGGACAGATGGGTTATTCAAAATATTGTGATAAAGATTTAAACCAAGAGATTAATCTATGAAGACTCATCTTCGTTAAATATTCGTTTAATACGAGCGCGTATGATGAATATGATTAGGTGTGCTCGGGCATTTAAATATTAAAGCGCTAGTGAGTCGCCCGACCGCATTGAGGCGCGGCTTAAACGCATCACTCAATCTATGACACTTCTTAAACGAAACGCGTTCATTCAATGTTGCGTCATTTACCGTCTGATTAGAATAGTCATGCAATTCAACCTTGGTAGGAAGTTAATACCCCGGGTTTGATCTTAGAACATACTTA